GTGTGCCTTGGCAGTAACAGCAACATGGGCTCCAACACCCAGCAAACCTTTGCACTGTCAGCAGAATCCAAGCAGGTATAATTTCCTCTCATGGTTAACCCTGTTTTTCTCATGCGTAAAAAACGGGCATAGTGCCAACACATTGGAACAGAAGGTTTAATTAAAGACTTGAAATGTACACTTTGCTTGGCAAGATAAAAAATAAAGATGTCTTTATGGGAAATGATTCTATTATATACAATTCAGAGCATAAATAAAAATAAAAACCCAGAAAATAGAATGATTAAAGCATGCCCATTGTCACACCATGAGGAGGAGGCGAGCGGCCGAGCTATTTATTTTGTGTTCACATCAAACTATTCTCTTTATCCAAGATCATAATGAGTACAGGATATATTTAGGAATCTATAATCACATTAACATTCTTTAGGCATTCAAACCAGTCCAATTTGGTCTCTTTTTTTGCCAGTTTATCCCAATAGGAAGGGAAGTAGTTTAAGGGTATACATTTTCGTTTTCCGTCTACAGATTGAATGTATTGTGATATACTTCACCATGCAATGTGAACCAAGCAGGGTACTGTCAATAGAAGAGTAGTATAGCCGTGGACAAGCTGGGAGTACTGTGTAAAGTGAAGAGTTTCTGAAACTGGTCCTGTTGGAGGCAATGATTCCCAGCTCCAGAAACCAGATAAATCAGGGTTTTGAACAAGGGAGCAGAAGACATATCCATAGCACCATGGCAGCCACGCTCCTGTACAACAGTTAGTGAATATTACTGGAAGCCCATGAAGATAGTTCAGTAAGCTGTCCTTGGAAAAAAAACAAGTGTACTTTAAATGAATTGAAGTGATTGTAGCATCACAGTTTAATATGGAATCAGGTGAGAACCTTTGAGGCGTTGCTTGTCCGAAGACTGATTATACACAAACATGTTTCAGCTGTGAGTCTCTTTGTATTATCTAGCGGGCGCCACCTTCTCCCTGGCGTTCAGCTTCCCCTTGATGGTTGGTTTCGGCCTGGTTCTGGCGGGCAGGGTGCCGGAGGAGAAGGTCTGTCCGGTGGTGTCCTGCGAGGCGCTGCGCCGCATGGTGGTTGTAGTCCTGGGCGGGAGCACGGGGACGGTCGGGGCTCGAACCGAGAGGGGCTGCCTGGATGGACAAACTCTCTGAGGGGACGGGCTGTCAGTCCTGCAGTGGTTTGAGCTAAGGCTGCGTCGGGTGCCGAACAGGACTCGAAGCGGCATCCGAGGGCTGCCTGAGGGTCCTGCAGACGGACGGGGACACAAGGAGGACGACCTGGGCGACATGGGTTTAGATTTCCGTTGAGTGCTGAGAGTGCTTAGTCCAATTGTCTGATTCCTGTGGAGATACAGTAAGAGAACATTGAACAGGGTATTTCATTAAGGTGTATTCAGATTCAGATCACTTGAGCTATTACTATGACTATTGTCCATTAAATGTACATATAATGGAAATGTGTCTTTGGCACTGGCAATAGGATAAAAAAAACCCTCTAACAATACAACATACAATTCATGCACACCAAAAGAGGTACAATCGCATCTCAAAGTGACTAAGTGTCTGTCTTAATGAAAGTGCAGAGTGGTTTGTTCTTCCACTGGCTTGGGTCCATTAAAATATCAGTTGTATTCCAAATAATTAATTTACAATACATTACTACTGGCCAACTTGAGATTTTGTTCCTTACAACCTACAGAAAAATGTAATCAAAACTTGTACCAACTAAGAGGGAAGACCAGAATCATACCCGTTAGTGAAGGACGCTGCTCCTTTGGTGGAGCTGGAGTCTGGTAGGGAGAGGGGAGAAGGAGCAGCGAGGCCAACAGCTGACGGCCTCTTTATGGGGGTAACAGGTCTGGGGATCCTGCTCCTGCACTCCTTGGAGCCTTGCTCTTCAGTCGTTTTGAGACGGGAGCTCCTCTTGGACTCGTCCGAGGTATGCGTGTCTTCCTCTGAGCCTGCGGTGGACAGAGTCTCCGAAACCCTCCGACGCTCATCGTCCCCGGAGGACAAGGACGAGGACGTCCCGGACAGCATCCTCCTCCTCATCCAGCGACCCTGTTGCTTCTGGACCAGAATTCGGGCTAAGTCCAGCTGCCGGGCTCTCTGCTGCAGCCGAGCCCGAGCTGAGAGGGAGGAGGACTGCTCTGAGCCTGAGTCCTCTTCCGATACAAGTATTGGGATTCGGCTTCGGATTCTGGGTTTTGTGACGGGCGGGAGTTCTGATCCGGTTGGCTGAAGCTTGGCATCGTCTTCACTGGACGATGGTTGTTTCTGAGGCTCCTGTGGTAGATCTGTAAGAGATAGAGGCATGGCTTCTGGGACCGGCTCCAAAGACTGGGCCGGGATTGTCGACGGACCATTATCAGTGTTGGATTGTTTGTCAACCGGTGCAGATTGATCTGGCACAGCCTCATCTAGAAGCTCTTCTGTCATAGGTGCTCCCTCTTGCTCATCCTCTATGGCCGATGCCTTCATGATAGCCAAGACTTCCCGGTCACTTTCCTTGGAAGAGTGACCATTGGAAGACATGACATTGAGGTGTGATGTCTCTGCAATATGGATGAAAGTGCGCTCGACTTTGGTGAAGGGCGGCGATGCAGGAGCGATGGGAGGGGAAGGCCTTAAGTCTGACCTGAGAGCAGGCGACAAGCGTCCGGTCTCGGAGGGTTCGGGCTGAATCGCCTCCCCGACAAAGAGGCGGTCGGCATTGAGAGCACACGGTGTGGCCAGCTCTCCCTCCAGAGCATGATCACACCCAGAGGGAGACTTACGAGTGTCTCCGGGGGAGAAGAGGACCAGGGTTTTGGAAGCGTCCTCCATGTCAGGGTCAGCATCTGCGGCCGAAGCGTGCTCCCTTTGGCCCCTCTGGTCCTCGGCCATAAGTGTTGAAGGCGCGGCATCCTGGCTTCGCTCAGTGCTCTTCTGACTGGCCTCGCTGTTCGACTCACTCTTTGTGACGTCGTCATCCTTTGGCCCAGGAGTTTCTTCGACTTCCTCTTCTGGCGTGGCAAAGCTCCGGCGCTGAGGCAAAGTACCGGTGAGTATAACGGTGAGGAAGTCTGCCCTCTTGACCTGGAGCTGAGGAAGGATGTGGAAATGCTCCTTCTCGTCGTTCTGGCTCTTCGTCCGATAGTCTGGGGAAGTCGGAGATGGGATGCTCTGCTCCGTGGGCGACAACACCTGGAAACAAAACAACAACATTCTTTATTAAAACTTAATCTAGTAAAAACAACACATCATGTTGGAGAGAGATCACTCATGAATTTCTAACACAAAGTATATCACCTGTTAGCAGTGTTACCAGTGAAACCATATGAGTTGTGTAATAAAAACATGCTTCCAAATGTATGCACAATCCCACACACAATGTCTTCGCACATCTGTAGGCTAGGAGCAATGACTCAGGAAGACTAGACCAATATATTCAACCAAAAAAAACACTGCCTCTGCCCTCTCTCTGCTAATAGGGGACATAGATTGGGGATGGCTAGGTTAACAAAGGATATGAATGTTGGTCATTTGGAAAACAAAGGGGATGGCACACCCCTTAAATCTCTGTTTGTTTTGCTAACAACAGTGTGTTGAGGTCAGAAAATCACAAAGAGTCTTGCAATGACCAACCAAGAACCGCATGCTAGTTAGCTTGCTAGCTCTTAGCTCGCCATGCAGTGAGGGAGAGAACGACGACATCCCATGCTGGGATTCAAATCAGAATCCCAGCATTGTCATTCATTTTTTGCTACTTCTTCGTCTATTAGTACACACATTAATTTATTTTGATGTCACAATCATTAAGCAAATAAAAGTGTGAAGCAATCTTCCTTGCTAACTGTTATTTTCCATGTAAGAAAGACATCAAAACAGATATATTTCCCCCCAAAACCATTTTAATGTCATTTTGGTTGTACACAAGCTTTTCAAGATTGTCTAGATTACATACATTAATATAAAAGGCACAAAAAAATGCATTGCAGAGTTTATCCTTAGACAGCACGCAGTCTGATAACAGGTGATTTTCAAGTGTTTCCCTTCATAAAGATTTAACATACAGCCTGTACATACATACTAAACCCCGCTAATTATCATGCTATTAGAGATTAACTGCAAACCTAATTACTTTCTACATTTCTGTATATATGTACACAGTTATCATTTGGATTTACAAAAAGTTTAAAATACATGCTTTACCTGTAAATTATACAAGCAGAACTGTACAATCATACAGTAAAGTGATAGAAAAGAAACGCCTATATGTACTGTACAAGTGAAAGACACTCACGGATCATCACACTGAAAACACTGTGAGCTCTTCAGTCCACTTTAACTCGACAACAGAAACTCTGCTGTTATTGCAAAAACTTTAAAAGAAACATTCAGATATTTGTTTTGTTTTTGTCGTTCAAAGGGTCACATAAACCAAGCTAACTACTGGATGGATTGCTAACTAGCTTGATAGCTAACAAGCTCTCTGTACAGGTAGTAGCTAGGCTAGCAGTTTCCCCCTGCTTCCAGTCTTTGTGCTAAGCTAGGCTAAACACTTTCTGAATATCCGGAAAAAACTACTTATTTCAGACTGAGTAAGATTTCCTAAAATATCTGAATGTTCCTTTGAGAATCAACTATTAGTGACACACGAGTTTCATACTGATCTTATAAACAAACGGTTGAACTTGTTGAACTAAACACGGAGACGAGCTTTCACCTCTAAAGACGCAATGTGGTTGTGTTCTCTCACATATCTGTACAATATCACCCTGTTATTCCATAAAGATCAGAACTAACATATCAAATATGCAATACAATGGATGTGTACGAGGAGCAAAATACAGTGTGTGATTCATGAGGTATAAATGTTTTGTGGCTGACTCGATCCACACTCATCCATGCTTAGTTTTCAGGAGAGTCTCCGGACATGAAGGCTTCAAAATCACAGAGTTGTTCATGTGATGAAAATGTTTTTTAGCACCTTCAAAATGTTGATTTCTAAGGGGCTAATTCATAGTTTGACCACGGAGCATTACTACTGTTGTCGATCACAGCTAAACTCTACTAAATATCAGGAATTTGGTAATCAAGTTTAATAATTTATTTAGCTTGAATCAACTGATACCTAATAAACATATATATTTTTCACATCGTAACATAAGGATAAGTGGACACGACTTTCCAAACAAGATTACATTTGACGTGTTCTTTCAGCCATAAAAGGCATATTTTTCGTTAATTTATTTAAACTTTGCACTCCTTAAAATAATTAATAGGTGTCCTTATACAAGAGAATGCTAACAGCACTATATTCAACAGCAGTTTGACAGCCTTTAGGAAAACATTTCTTAAATAGTGTACAACTAGCTTTAAGTATTTTTGACTTGCACTACACAGGTTTGTCCTGAGATATTTATTAATCAGGGTTTTTCTGTTGCAAAGTTTATCTTTTTTAATGGATTGTTAACCTGCGCAGATGCAGATGCTCTCCAAAATGTGCATACTTTAAACGGTTATAAAACTGTGTCTCTGCAGTGAAGTTTTAGAATCTGATCCCATGAAGAATTATGTTAAAATCAGCAAAAATGTGAAGTAAAATGTGTTTTTACATTTTATGGTTAGACTCAAACAGCCACATATTGAGAGGAGTCCAAGATGTTTCAGCAGCATCATGCAGCATGACGTCCTCCACTAACAATATATGTAAATGTTCACATCTCACAGCATAGTTAAAGATGTGATGATAAGAAAAGGCTCTTGCTGCTAGTCAGCTCCGGAGTCCACAGCTCTGATCCGTGAGTATCTCCTTTAGTAGCGGTGTGAATTATTTACAAAAAAAATCACAGACGTTTTTCAGTCAGAGGTGTATATTCACTGGGTTTTAGTTGTAATTACAATACAGTGTTGTTTTTAGTCATTTTACAGTCAGAGGTGAGTGTCGTACAAACAGTAGATCTCATGCAAAGAGTGGTGACAGTCGGTAAACAGTCTCTTGGTACGACACACCGTCTTTAACGCTGTAGATCTTTTTTTATTAAAATGTATCGTCAGCATAAGCACACTCAAAGCCTTCTGTTTCTAACTGAATGTGGCACTGCGCTCGTGTGACACAGGACAAAACATTGACATGTATCAGTGACAATCTTGTACGGTAGGTGAATCATTTTGCAGACGTGCAAAATAAAGTTAGCAGCTAGTCCACTTCATACATTCTCTAAGTGGTTGTACTGTAACGCTATGCTAAATATAAAACAGGCAGGACATCCTGAACTCAGCATGAAGCAGCATTAAATCAAACTCAAGTTTCTCCCCATCAGACCGGAGCCTCGGCACAGAGGGACATGCTCAGGCCGAGCAAATGTAAATGTCTCAAGCTCAATGAAACAGCAAGTGGTGCATATTTACTTAATGTAGCCCTTAAACACATTGAGAAAGCAACCGATTCACTGCACAAAATGGCCGTCCCTAGCTAGTCTCATGTAGTGTACTCTTTAACGTTTTTGGAGGACACACAGCTCTGACTTTGAAGGATGTCTTCAAAGCAACAAACCACAGAGCGCTGCTTTGGTATGACGTGAGCAACGGCCAAATATTAAACAGGGTTTCACAGCTCAACACTTTCAACCATCACAATGGATACACAAAAGAAACTGCCTCACATGTTTGTAGAGCTTCTTAAAGTCTCAATTTCTCAGGATTGAACAAGCACTGATTATTTTAAGAACAATATCGTTCTGGAGACGCTAACCATTTGATGTAAAAATTAAGACTCTGGTGCAGATAGAGGGTAAACATGATAAATCTTCTCAAACCTGTCCATTCAACGTTGATCTTAGTTTTGATTTCATTTCATGTAAGACATTTCTTTCTCTCAAAAAGGGCAAACACTATGTAGCCAATGACAGTTAAACCTAGCAAATCTAGAGACTCTGAACAACTAAACAGACTTTTTAAACCTTCATTAAAACAAACTATTTATTGTTTTCACCTCCGCCGAGGATGTCATGTTTTCGGCTCAGTATGTCAGCCTGATCACGAAAAGCCTACTGGTCTAACATTTATGAAACTTGGTCAAATAGTTTAAGCATGGGCTAAAGGAAGAACCCATTACATTTTGAAGCACATTCGATTAAGAATCAACTCATGACAATGGGTTGTTTCTGTTTTTGCAATGCACTTTTTTAGCTTTTATAAGAAAAGTACATTTTTAAGGACAAAGATAGTTATTTGTAGGGTTAATTTATTATGACATTTTGGGATGTGTGTGACCCCAAAACGGTTTGATTCCCTAAACCAAGCACCATAACATGTGTGATCACTTAAATGTATTCACATCAATCCTTGGATGTAAGATGTTTTCTGATTTGATTGCGTTTTGTCCTGACTGCTCCTCACACAATAAACCATCAAAATACACATTTTGACAATTTCTCTATAAGAAATGTACCAGGAAAGAATCTTTAAGTAACATATTCTCAAAAACCCAACAAACAACACACTTCAAGCTGGTTTCCAACACTGAAACAAACTCTGGCTACATTACCTAAGGGTGTCTTTACGATATATTTGTTACTGACTGTAACGTTGTTCTGTCTAATTGAGTATGGCGCACTGCGATGTGAAATAAGACTCTCCACTAGAGCGATTATGTGATTATAGTGGTGATTTATTTTTTCACATTAATTACTTTTCATTCCTCCTCGTCATTTTGTAAAATCTTCAATCAGATTGATTTCCTTGCTTTCAGGCAGCCATTGTTCTCACTTCTGTAGAAATCAACTTAAAATGTAATGCAGATCATCTATTATGTCTGACTATAGTCATGTTTTAAAAAATGTCCTTTGATGCGAGTTCAAGGAAGCCTCAAGTCTCTGCAAGTTGATTTTCACACAAATGACTGAAACTAATAACTGCCAGTAAGAAAGAGAGTCGTAAAACTGAGGGTTTCCTTTGTAGTGTTAACCACCAGAAGTCTTCTTTCTAACATCTTACATTTCACTTATTGCATCCGTGTTTTGCATCCATGTAGTGAGAGCCTCCGCCCGGCCTGACCGCCTGTCCGGTCAACTCAGTGATAAAGTGCAACAGTGAAATCCAGCGGTCAGAAAAAAGTTATGGAAGAGGAAGCACGATGAAAGAGACCTCTGTGAAGTTATTTTCTGGTCAAACTCGCAGCCATTTGTGAAACAGATACA